TGTTAAACTAAGATGGATTAGTGTTAAATCAATACGCTAATCCGTATTAGTGAAGATCATATTTATGAAGAGAAGAAGCTAGTCAAGTGGGCAAGTGGTTGTGACCGTTAGCCTATAGACGGGAAACACTCAAACACTTCAAACTAGCTCTTACCCGAAATGGACAAACAAGAAGAAAGGAAGAAATAGCATTACCGAAAATAGAAGTCACATGTGTGTACAAATTCAAAATATATGACCGTTGGGACTCTTCCCTCTCTCTTCTCTTTGTTGTCTATAAATATCATGTACTTTATGTCTGATTTTAACTAAGGAAATAGAATCCTCCTTATTCTCTAAACTCTCTTCTCTCTCGGTTTTCGCATTCTCTCTCGTGGTTACTCAATTTTTTCGTTTATTCTCACTAAATTCTAACAATAACAATAGCTCGGACTGAAATTTAGATTATTTGTTTATATGTGAAATTAGATATTTTATAAGATCAATCATGATTGAAATTGTATCATAATAATTTGAACACCGGTTCTCGATCTGGTTTTCCAACTCTAAAATGACCAATTTTATAGTTTTTATAGAATGACACTTCAAAATATCATAGAAAAGAGTTGTTTTTAAAAATAGCGCAACTTGTTTTTTAAAGTGTTTTTATACTATATTTTTAGGGTCTATATGGTATTTGAGAAATTTTGTTGACTTGTGGAAAATGATTGAAATTTTGATATTTGTTTTTTGGAATTTGATGAAATAACTTGAAAATTAAATGATAACAGTTGAATTTGACGGAATGTAGAGAATTTTGAAAAAAAAAGTCAATCAAACTTATAAAATATTAGTTAAACAATAAATACTTTTTAAGACTTTTGAAAATTTCTAATATTTTGTAAAATATGATCCATTTGGTTTAAGGATATAGTTTAGTTGGTAGAGCTCCGTTTTTTAAATTTTGATTGTTACAATTGGACCTCATCAACTAGTTTTATACTATTTTTAGTATAAAACTAGTTGGTAGTTTTATATATTAATAATATACTATGCAGAGAATTAACCAGACTAATTGTTTGACATTTTTTTTTATAATAGTTTGGTCGATTTAATCAATATAGCAGTATCCAAATGATTCTCACCGTGCTGTTTTTATTTTAAATTTGGATTTTCCTACCTGAAAAAATGAATTAATATTCGTTCAATGCCAATTAATCTGTTAATGTATTGCTTAGTGGTTTAAGAAATTCTTAGAACACGAAATAATAAAGTCTGAGATAGAGGCATTAAGACATATATAGCTAAAGCAGATGACAGTGCTTAATGCAGTAATTAACAGGATTAGATGCATGCGTTGATGTTCATGGGCTTGAAGCCAACATGACTTGGTGAGTCATTAGGATCTAGGGATATGAGTGTTTATATTTAGGGCGTAGACAAAAATACTTATTAGCTAAGGATTCTATTGTGAGATGTATACATATGTGCGACGTCGTATTACTTTACGCTATTTCTTTCTTTTTGTAAAAAATGTTAATATCCTTTTAAAAATAAATCGTTAAGGTATTACAAATTGTTATGCAAACAAAATGCTAAACCTAATAATTGGATCTGTGACAAAAAAAGTTTTAAAAAACTATGAAAACAAAAAACAATCGAAATTTACAAAAGATGCATAGTTGCAAAGCAACCATGGTTGAGAAAATCTCGATATAATCTAAATTCTCGATGGGAAGGGGAACCCAAATTTTCTAGCAACTTAAGTAATTAAGGGATGATGACTAAGCGATCAGAATTTCTTTCGTCCGGTAGCCCGACTCAAAGACCAGCGAACAAGAAACAAAAACACTTGCTATCCTTTACACTAGAGAGACGAGGTTCAATAAGCAATCCGAGAAAACATCAATTAGACGGGACTACACTAAGCGTTAGAAAGTGGAAGAGCTCTTCAACTCTACCATGACCTATTCTCGTAGTCGGTTAGAGGGACAAAGCACCAACACAATCAATCGACCTTACTAGCTCCTCCAAAGGCCAATTCATAGCCACAAAATCAAACCGGAAGCAGACAAAAACATGCTACACATAATCCAATTCACCAAGTCAAGAGATCAGCCAAACTCTCCTAATCAACCTAAACGATATGCAAACAGAGACATAGTCATAACAAAGACTAGAGCTTACGGGGTCAAACCAGAGGGGACTATAGCTAGCCGCCAAACCAGAGCCCCTAATCGCAAGCAAAGTCTAAGCACGACCAACTAAACTTTACCGTCAAATGATTCACCAAATAATATGATAATTATCACTAAGACTTGAAGATGTTACCGCAACCTCAACTCTCGGCGGGATCGAATCCCCAAAGTGACAACAGGACATGCAGCATCCTTGCCTCCGCGAAGATCTGATTTGGAAGTGTGAACTCCGATGCAATCGACTCAAGGAGAAGGAAGCCAACAGAACAAACTGAAACAAACGTCGAGAAGAAACCACCGGAGATCTCGCAACCACGAATATGACAAGCCCAAATCATAGAGGACCATTGCTCTACATCAACAGGTGAAGAGACCTGTCGTCACGATCCATTCGTCACGCCGTCGAGAATAACCAGAAACCGAGATGGACTCACTTGCGCCGTCTCTAAGGAGACAAGATCCTGTCTTAGGGAAATGCCGATTGCCACACGCCAAGCCCAAGGCAAAATCACCGCACAAGGTTCAAGCCGGATACTCACCTATACATCTCGACCCAAGCAGAGAAGAAACCAAAAAACGCTTTAAAGAGTAAAAAGAACTAGAGCTTACGGGATCAAACCATAGGGGACTATAGCTAACTGCAAAACTAGAACCCATAATCGCAAGCAAAGTCTAAGCACGACCAACTAAATCTCACCGTCAAAAGATTCACCAAAGAATAGAGGTGATTGGGGACAGTTGCAATAATATCATTTTTGAAATACGATTTTGCAAAGATGCCAACATGGACTGTCTATTTTTAAAATGATACAAATTAAGAATTTTTTAAAAGTTTAAACTTTAAAATTCTAAACTTTAAAAAATATTTTTGATCTTAACGAACCTTAAAAACTAAATCCTAATTTGAGAAACTTAACTCAAATATAAATAATATTTTGAATAAATGATATAGTATTAGTAATATTTTTATTTTTTTTAACAGTATGACATTTTTGAAAAGTGTCATTTTAAAAATGATATTTTCGATAATTATCTTTTAATTGTCGCTTCTCCCATGTACAATATTTTTTTGTTGAATATAATTAAATAATGTATGAATACCACTTATACGATAAATAATAGCTGTGGAAAACCAATAGAAATTTTTTTAAAAATACCACTTTTCAAGTATCACTTTATAAAAATGTCATTTTTTCAAAATTATTTATTCATTATATCATTTATGTTTGGATTAACTATGTTGTATTAGGGTTTAGTTTTGAGGGTTTAAGGGGTCAAAAGAAGTTTTAGGGTTTAGAATTTCAAGATTTAGGTTCTAAAAAATCATAATTAGTGGCATTTTTGCAAATAGACACCAAAAATGATATTTTTACAAATGTGGACACAAAAAATAATATTTTTATAAATGTTCTAAACCATTACGTAAAATATTAGTTTTTGAATATATAAATAGCATGAGACACTGTTGACAAAAAAAAACAAAAATAGTATGAGACACATACACGAATGCTAAAGTTTGTAATTTTTACAAAAAACAAGTTTAGTAATTATAAAGTGAAAAACCTGATAAAGGTACAAAAGATATAAAGGAGAAAATTTATTGTTATAGTTT